TTTACTTCCGTTTTGCTTCTCATGTACTGATTCGCTAAGCTGAACAGCCAATCAGAGTGATTTATGTTGCTGACAGCCTCACAATTCAACATGTTCGTCGCTCATCGACGGCCAGACATCTATCGACGGCCGAAATCGGCTCGGTGTGTCAGGGCCTTAACTTGACAATGTTGGGATTGAACACTTCCCATGGTACTTCATCACAACATTCTTGCTTGGAAGGAGAGTTTGGCTTCTCCTGACATACAACCCCGTGTTTCAGTTTCCATCTATTTCTCACACACCGAGGCCCGTTAGGTCTCAGCACGTTTCGTGGTAAGTCTGGAGCTCAAACATGGTAAGGAAGAACGTCCACATTTAGGCATGACATTATATCCAGTAAGCCTGCTGCTACCAAGGCTCATGCGCCTTGTCAGTGCAGGGCGGCAAGGCTGTTTATCATCGTAGCCAAGAGCCAAACTCCATCGGTCACGGAAACCCACAGGCTGCTGAAGTTCTTTTCATATTGACTGATTTCAGGTCTGCTTCCATTACTTTTCAGCAGTTAGAGATATGAGCTTGTGATGGCAGGATTGATGGCTAAGCCTGGTGCAAAAAAAGGGAACAGAAGCCTCTCCTAAAAGCTACTCAAACCCATGAATGAAACTGGTAAATGGACAGTGTTTATGTCTCATTTTCTAGTCTTTGCAAGCCTGCTTTTTACATATATAAGTCATTCACTCATTCACACGCATTCATACCGAGGCATCTGCCATAGAAGGCGCCACATGCGCAGGGAGAATAACATAGACAGACATTCACACACCATTGACCATGCCATTGGGAGCAACTCAGGGTAAAGTATCTTGCCCAAGGAAACATAGACTTGTTGTCTGCAGAGGCTGGAATTAGAACCACCAACCTTCCGATTGGTCGACGACCAATCTACCTCACAGCCTCCAACAGCCCCCTTATTCTGTCCATGTATCAGGCAACTAAGTAACCATTAGCTTGTCCTCTCTCCTAGACATGTACACATCGGTAGCAAGGCCAGTTATACTATAAACAAGCAGATAAACTTGTCTACGGCCACATCTTTGACCCACACCAGACACTTGTCTGTGCAACACTGCTGTAAGATTGACCGCTGATAGAGCTGCAGACTGGCAGTCAGTCAGGCATGACAGGAACAAGAATGTTTGTGAAAGAGGGAGCAGCTCTCCAAATTATTTTTGTCCGAGCTAAGCCCTTACCTGCTTTGCGGCAATGAGCACTCAGCGCTAATTTGGGCAACTCTCACCATAGCTGAAAGGTGGGGGGGAGTCACTCACATATCTGTGTCTCTGCAATGTGTGTTTACATGTTTAAAATCCCAAAGGTGAAAGTGTGGTTCAAAAAGGTATGGCAATGAGCGAGTGTAAGAGCGCCTCTGTGAGAATGAGTCTCTCTAATGTTTATTGCTGGCCACCGAGTGGTTTCTAATCCCATTATGTATTGGGAAATCACTCTGTACCTACCTTTACTGTTCCTCTAAACTCCGCTGTCTGGAAAACTAAGAAGGCAGGGTGCAGTCTGGGGTTTTGCACGAATAGTCAGCTGGATGATTGGACAGGCGTATGTCCCAGATCTACAGCTAACCCCTATTAGCTTTATAGGATCTTCTATTTGAACTTTAAAGTAAAACAAATGTGGGGTCATGTCTGTCTCTACTACAGGTTATAGTGCTGAAAGTGAGTTATCCTAAATCCTGTTTAGTATAGCTTTTCTACAAATGCATGATAATTTAACAACACTGATTGACAATACCAATTATTAAGGGATTACCTAAATAGATATTTTTTCATCTGTGTTGTAGGTTTACTTTTTCTGACGAAATTCAAATAAATGAGAAATACCTCTTTAAAACATCGTCAAATGATTGGGGACTTACTTACAATTGCATACAGTCTAAAATGACTTGTTATTACAATGTTAATTCTGTAATTATCTCTAGCAAAACCTCATTCTTAAACTAATTTCCTGGCTCGTGTTCAACAATAAGGTCTTATTTTCACACAGCTCTATCTGTACACACTAGTACATTATTTTCAATCTATGACCTGTAAACGCATTTCCCCTTCTGATACATATTTATAGCGCCTTTTGTGTTCCATAGACAAAGTGTTTGCTTTGGCTTAACTATGCATTTAAATGCCTTCAACTAGCAGGATACTAAGAGGTTATTGGCATATCCTGTGAGTCGAAAAGGAAAAAGGAAAAAGTCTGGGTAACAGACATGACAGTTTTACCAGTTTTATTCCATTCAGGAAGGAAGTACAATAAAAAAAAAAGTGTATGATGCGTTTGTGATAATAGAGAAAAAGGATCCACAATAAGTACAACGAAAAGGGAGGGGCTGCGGTTCAGTGATAGACTATCAGCTGTTACAAGAGTCTAGACTAGGCTGCACATTATCTCTGAAGAGATCAGGCCCAAAGGGAAATCTGGTTACTTTTTCCACTGTCCTCAATAGTCAACACAACATTTGTTATCCACAGTTGGCGGACACACACTATTCAAACAAAGAGGATATCTGTCTATTCAACTCAACACTATAAAAAGAGTCAGGTCCAATAACAAATGGTATCCGATTAGGAAATACACATGAATCCATTTTGACTGACATGCAGTAAAATCCCCAGCTTCAGGGGTAGCAAGAATTGGCTAAAGTCGAATGCACAAACATTCAAAACAACAATACTTACACACAATTAAAGCTGTTATTCTTAGACTATACTATAGAGCCGATGCCAGGAAGTTTGATTTTTATAGCCATGTCATAATAACACTGATACACAGACAGACTGATGACTGTGAATGAGGTTTTATTTAGTTTCTGTCTGACCTAGTTGTCTGGTCTGCCAACCCCGAGGCATTGAATAACCCAAATGTATTTCCGAGGTATCTCAGCATTTTACTGCCCCACCTTACTGTTGGGTAATCTCACGTTTGTGTGTATGTGTGTCTGCTTGTATGCACTAGATTATTTTATATGCATTGTGCAAGTTTTAACAGTCTCTAAAATGGTATTGACACAATGAGACATGAATTTCTCAAACAAAACTAAATAAACTAATGTTTCCTGGGTGTGGTGTCTGCTCATACCTTTCTTTGAAACTTTAGGCGACACACAGGTGCATACATGTCTTGAATGTGTAACTGTGAGACGTAGGTTGCAAACTTAGATGTGTTTTGCTAAAAGTTTTGTCTAAAACACACACACAGTCACACACAATTAAATGTATTTTCTCAACAAGGCGACAGGCGCAAAGAAAGGGTTACCTATGTAATGAACAACACATGTCTGGCCCTTCTTTGGAAATGTTCTTCCTGTCAAAAAGAAGAAAAAGAAACATGTGTTATTGTTTGTCTGTACACGTAGTAGACTTCAGGTTTATCTTTAAAATTAACAATCACTGGGTTAAGTCTGGTGAAGGGTCCCTGGCAGGAATGCCATTCTCTCTTCGTGCTTGAAGACATTTGAAGTCAGATATGCATCTGTTATTAGTCCCATCGTCATTTTGAAACTTAATACTGGAGGCTTCTTTTTTTAGGGGGCAATCGAAAGCCTCTAAATGGGTTATTAGTGCGTTTGACAGAGAGAGATAACTGCGGAACAGTCCTCCATGTCTAGCACCTGATCAAACCTTTATCCTGTCTGCCAAATCTCAGATAGCTTACATTACTTGCAGGTTATACTTATCACAGTTCACTCGTTTAACAGCAGCACCGTTAAGTATGGAGAATTATAGAAAGGAGTCATGCAGGCGTCAGAGATGGTGAATACATGGGGTATACAGACCCCTAATTATATCCCGAATACTACGTTACTGTTAGTATCTTGCTAAATATTTTTAACATATTAATTATCTTTCCTGCTTTTACATTAAACTTCATATTTTATGTAAAGCATGTTGACATTTAACCAGACATTCCGGCGAACTACAGAGCCCCAAGACCACCACCACCCCCGCATCAAAGCACAGCCAAGCGGATAAATCAACCTACCATCACCGGGAGATATTGTCTCGACGTCCACGCCCATGATTGTACTACTTCAAAAATGTGCTCGAACCATGAAACCTTAAACGCCGTTATGGAAGCAAATGTTATCCGTTTTGCGGCTACAAGTCGGAGTGTATCGGTGGGAACCATGCATTCACCCAACACTACCGACCCGTAGCTTCAACCAACCGTGTGGGGCAGCAAAGATATTTTCTGTCGGACAGCGTCAAGATAACAGACTGTCTGCACCACGCACGTCGTCTCCAGCGTTGCGCCACATGGTGGGTGAGCTATGTTAAGCAGTTGTGTTATTTCTCCTCGTTTACTTTTTATCTAAGTAATTTTCTACAACCAATATTTCGTTTAAGTTTCCCTTTAATGTAAATTATTTTGTATCAACACACGCAGCGACAACGAGCTGGCAAAGTGGCAAACATAAAACGACTATAATCCAACTACAGTTCCCAGAGTGCACCTACAATGTCTGCTGGTTTTGCTTCCGAGTTAAATAGATATGACCATTTCAGAAACATTTTCAAAACGTGATTTAGAGGATGGGAGACTCGCTTTAAGTGTTTCACGCAGACTCCACATGAGATGCTGGTGGTTTTATAAGGTACGTATAGTAAAATTACATGTCCGTCTGTATTTTTACTGCAATTATTAGTTAGCATGCTACATGTTTACAACATAATGAGTTACGTTGGTAGAACATTTTAAACTGCGTGTCATAATGGTGTATACGTTTATAACTTTTACATTTTGACCACTTATGTGAAGTAACTATATCCTTGCCTAAATACATTTGTCTTAAGTAATTTCCTGCAACTTCTCCATACTGTTGTTATATTCATATTTACATTTTGTAACAATTCTCAATTGTATTTAACTTGCAAACTCACTTTTAAATGCAATGCTTTTCTTTTTCTGTTGACCTCTGATAATAGAGAACATCTCTATTTGATAAGGGGGCGACTTAATTGATTCAAAGCAATCAAAGCAGATTCATCTGATCTAAAATAGGAAATGCTGTGATGAGGCATTCCTTCTCAACACATTGTAATGTTAATGCCCTCAAGACCTGACAAGACCAGTGTGTTGAGGTCATTCAGTCGTAAGCAGCTATAAGTGTTCGTCACCACTGCCTCAGCTCAGGCAGAAGGGATTAAGGCATGTACTTGGAAGGAGAAACGAGAGGCTTTTCTTAATCTGCATAGGTAAAGGCATTAGCGAGAATACTCCTTTGCAGGACCTGATCACACCAGATTCAGTTGTCTCTGTCATCAATGTTCCGACTCATTTTTGTGTTTCTCTTTGAACAAGGTTCTTAATACCTGCCAGGATGGATCTTGGTAAGGCAAAGCTGCTTCGGACGGGTCTCAACACTCTACATCAAGCTATCCACCCTGTGCACGGGATAGCATGGACAGACGGCAAGCAGGTCTGCCTGACATCTCTTTTCTTCGTCAATGGCGAGGTGCATTTTGGGGACACTAACGTAATTGGGCAGTTTGAGCATGTCCTTGGGCTCTTTTGGGGCCCGCTGTGCTGCTCTGACTCTCCTGCCTTGCTGGCTGTTCAGCACAAGAAACATGTTACCGTGTGGCAACTGCAGCTCAGTGCGCTGGAGCAGAACAAACTGCTGTGCACTCAGACCTGTGAGATGAGCGAGCCCTTCCCCCTGCTCTCCCAAGGCTGTGTGTGGCATCCTAAACTGGATATTCTGGCTGTGCTGACCAAGAAGGACACTAATGTGCTTTTTTCTGTCAGGGTGGATAACAGGAGAATTAAAGCGGACATCAAAGGTAGTGGACTTATCCACTGTGCATGTTGGACTAAGGATGGTACGCGCCTGGTAGTGGCTATAGGAAGCTCTCTACACTCTTACATCTGGAATGACATCCAGAAGAGTCTTGCTGCCTGCTCTTTTTGCCCCATTTTTGATGTAGGAGGCTACATATGTGCTATCGAGGCCACAGGAGAGGCTCAAGTAGCTGTAGCTACAGAGCTGCCTCTGGATAAAATATGTGGGTTGAATGCAGGCATGGCCTTTGACATGCAGCCAGAGGCAGAGTCTGTGCAGGGTGACGGGTCTCATTTGTCAGAAGAAGACATTCCTCTGGACTCGAGAAGAAGGTCTTTTGATTCAGATAGGTCATACGTCCCTTGTTCAGGCCCCTTAGATCTCACCCACCTCCTGGCCAGGCATCGTCGCTCTGACCCCAGCCCCATTATTCACCTGCGTCGTAGAGACACCTTGACAGGCACTGGTCAGGACTCCTCATACCTCATCCTGGTTACCTATGAGCGTAAAGTCACCACAAGTCGCAAAGTCAGTATCCCAGGTATTTTGGTTCCAGACATTGTGGCCTTTGACCCACGTGGCTCCACCGTCGCCGTGGCTTCCAACACCTGCAACATGGTGCTTGTGTATTGCATTACAGCCTCAGCCATGCCGAACATTCAGCAGATCTCTCTGCAGACAAACGAGAAACCTAAAGGAGTGTGCTTCCTCAATGACAAGATGCTGCTGTTGATGGTGGGCAAGCAGAAGTCCAATGACCCTGCCTTTCTCCCATCGTCTAACACGGATAAATATATTCTTCGACTCATAGTTAAAGAGCTGATGCTTGATGGAGAAACTTCTGCCCCACCTTCCCCCTCTCCTCTCAACCATGAGTCACCTTCAAATTTCTTCGCAGGGATTAGAAGGCACTCAGAGCACCAGTCCAAGGATAACAGGGAGCACAGAGGGATAAAGGATTTGGTTTTGCCTGGAGGGGGAGTTGTTCGCTCACCAGGCAACAGGCGTAGGCTGGTGGAGGAAGTAAGGAGTGGCGAGCCCAGCCCCGTCACCAGCTCCGTTGAGTTCTTTGAGCAGACATCAGCCACATCCAGTGCCTCCTCCATCACAGTTGAGAATTTTGACATGGAGCATGTCAACCGCATGACCAGCCTGGCGGTGGCCGGCCAGCCCAGCAGGGACCCCAGCCGGACCAACTCTCCTCGCCCCGAGCCGGTGGACAAACTCCACACAGATGCCACACTGCCAATGGCTGAAAAGACATCAAGCCAGGCAAAGGAGCGCACGCTGGAGCAGCTCGTTCATAACATGGAGAGGCTTTTTACTCGCTTTGCAGATGTACAACAGTGCATGGGAGAAATCAGAGATTATAACCAGAATGGCAAGAAGGCCCTGAGTGTCTACCCCACTGCCTCTGAACCCCCCTACGTCAATGTCACATGTCAGGTACAGTTTAATTAAAATGTTTACCTCCATTTTCTCTGTGTATTTGTAACTGGCTATGCTTGGATTATAATTACCCAGCTATAGAGATGAAGATTCCCTTTCTTCTACAATCTCTGCCATTAGCGGCTTTTGATTGATAAGCTTAAAGAGCTTAATTAGCGGGAATTTAAGGATAAGACAACGTAAATACCTGGAATTGTTTAATGTGCTCCAGTCACACAATGACTGTGTGTTTCAATGTCAGGTATCAGATCAAGATAGATCTGTTATAACAGCATCCAGCTCAACTTTCTTTGACTGTTTCTCTTTGCTTTCCTCATTTGCGCATTTGCAGAAGCAGTTATCAGAAAATGTGTTCATTGATGAGCGGAGGCCAGTGCTGCTGTGTGACGGGAAGCTGTGTCTGCGTGCCCTCCAAGAGCTCTTCAACCTCACCATTGTTGAGATGACATATGGTATGCAAAGATTATTTTTGCCTCAATTCATTTTAAAGTAATTCCAATGGTGTAGTTGCCTTCAGTTTTGTCATTAGATCGTTTTTTCGATACTACAAAGTGGTATATACATCACCCTTTTCTTGCCTGTGAGATTAACAATGAGTGTACGGAGTAGATTAATTCAAACGAATTAGAGGAAAGTCTTTGAAGGCCACTTCGGAAGTACTACCCCGCTGTGAGTATTTTCAGCTAGCTTGTGTGACGAGCTACCCTAGTGACATCATTTTAACGTCATCAGATAATTTTGTTGTCCAAGTTTATGTCGTTACTTCTTTAACTTTTTTAAATCTTTAAATAACCCAATCAGAATTTATTTAAAATAATAAAGAACATGTACAATCATTAACAAAACATTTTAGCGTTATTGTTCTTTTAGCATCCGTTAGCTATAATTGGAAGTGATTAAAAGCCTAGGTGAGATTACAAGGTTTAAACATAAGCAGCTTACTACTTTTGAATGAGCATAGTGTATATTATGTCCTTAAGTGACATACTATCAGTAATGGATATTACAAACTGCATTGGATAATTAATCTCAGATGTGTAGAAATCCGTGCTTATGCCAATGGTGTTGTTATTTTGCAGGTCCATTGTGGATTGTGCTTGTAGCAGATGCAGACGGCTTTGTTCCTCTGACGTTCAAGCCCAAAGAGGAACTCACAGTGCGCAATGGGAAGCGAAAAAATACGCTACGTACTCCTGGGAGTCCAGACAACTCCGTCCCCTCCAGTCCGGCCCCCTTCCAGACCTCCAACACAACCTCAGAATTCTCTTAACACACAAAATGAAGTATAATTGTTTCGGAAATATATCTGACTCAATCCAAAAGGCAATAGGTATGGCACAAATGCTTCAGCTATGCAGATAACCAGTGTTTTATAAATGCTTATTTATAATTCAATCTATTTTTCTATTCTCTGTATAAAAGGGCTGCCTATTCATATTGAATGTTCACGTGTTGCTGCTTTAAAAAAAAAGCCTACCTGAAAGAAGTTTGAGCTCCATGCCATGTTTTTTATTTTATTTTTTAGTTGACGGAATGCAGTGCTCTACTTCCTCTGATATGTTTTATGAATGCTGCTGTCCCGGTAGGAAAACCGATAGAAGTTCACTTGTGATGTATATATTTGTTTTGGAATGTATTTGTGATCACTGCTGCATTAGAGAAATTGAAATTCAGATTTGACCCATCAAATCTCTGGATTGGTAATTGGCTGAATAGTCCCGCTCAAATTATTGTTTCACCAAGTGTAATTGAACCTTGTTACATAACACTCTGGGTTACGTTTGATTATATTTAAAATATTAATCACTTCTGAATATTTATAATGCCAAGCTCTGTATCACAACTGACCACTGGAGGGGGCAAGACTCAACAGAAACACTGGTTACAAAGATTCTACAGAAGACCAGATAAGTGTAAATGCACCTTCTTGAGAAATATATATATTTTGACCCTTTGAATATTAAATCATCATAAAACATTTGCATTCCTGTCTATTTTACTTATTGATCTTCAACAAAAAAACACAAAGACCCACACTTATTCGGTCTACCAACCAACCTCTACAACATTTATTCATTTCATATCATCAGTCCTCAATAATCATAATATCATAAATAAATAGAGCTAAACACAGCAAGAAATGATATACATTCATTTATATAAATTAGGTAATCTTATTATATATATTTTATATATTCAAGATGACTGTACAGTACATGTGAAAAGGAAACAAATGTTTACATTCAAACAATTTAACTAATTATCAGTGTAATATACACTAAGGACAACTTTCCAGCGGCAGCACTGGAAAACGTGGCTTTGTGAATTCACTTCATTCAGGATCCAGGTCACACGTTACTCAAATCCTCCATTGTTCTGGAGCTGATGCTTTGTTTCCTGGGGGAGACATGACAACACGTCAGGACAAAGTAGGAAAACATTGCTACTGTAATAGATTTTTTTAATAGTAGTAATACTTCTTCCACAGGGTGACCAGATGTCCCGCTTTGCGCGGGACTGCACAGCATTTTCACGAATTGTGGTGCGTCCCGCAAATTGAGACGATGTCCCGCATATTTCATTTTGATTGGCTAAAACGCTTTTCTAAAGCAGGGAAGGCTATCATCACGGGGGTGTGTTTGCTGTCAATCAAACTGTAACACACGGCGGGTGCTGGTCAAGTGTTAACCAATGAGAGTAACTCACTCACACACACCCCCCCGCGGCCCCGCCAATCAACAACAACGAAAGCAGGCGACGCAGCAGGTTATGGAAAATGGAGGAAACTGAAACTACAGCTAAGAAGAAAAGAAGATGCACATACAACAAAGACTGGCCCCCCCCCCGCGGCCCCGCCAAACAACAACAACGAAAGTCAGTCAATAACGCAGGCGACGCAGCAGGTTATGGAAAATGGAGGAAACTGAAACTATAGCTAAGAAGAAGCCAGTGGGTGAAGAGTCATTTTTCAATTTCACATGGCGGTGAATACAACGTCAAAACAAGACACCGAGAATACGATTCTCACAAGAAACGTGTCGCTCAAAAAGAGACATCCCACTCCATGGAGACATTCCTAGTCAAACCAAAAAATGAGGGCCACTCAGACAAGGTAACAGCAGCAGAAATAACCAGTGTTTACCATACAGTGCAACACTCCCAATCATACAGGTCAAATGACTGTGGTAACAAGCTAGCGCCGACCATTTTTCCAGACTCTGAGATAGTAAAGAAAATGTCATGTGGTCGTACAAAATCAGCGTCCATAATAACAGATGTGCTTGCCCCTGCCTCTGTGGAGAGTTGTTTGACAGAGTTAAAGACACCAGTGGTTCTAGGTGACAAAATAGCCCACACACTGTGGGGGGGCCCACCTGTTGTTGCTGTGATGGACAAGACTGAAAGCTATTTTATTTAATGTATTATTATGTTTTTGTTCCCTCCTGGCCAGTTTTGATTTTTACTTACCTACTTTTACAGGAAATACACTAGTTGAATTAGGAAGATGCATTTCTAAACACTTGAAGTGAATAATGCCTACTGCCTTGGTTAGCCTTAGTTTACTTTTCTTTATTAAGATACTAATTTGTTACTGCGCATTGGGGGGGAGACATTTGGTTTGTTGGGACCTGGTCACCCACCACCGATCAATAGTAAATGTGAATAGCATAATAGCACAGCTAAACATGCTAGCTTATAAAAACATTGTTCCCTGGTTCATATAAGGAAAGAACATTTATCATAACATATATAGTATGCCTTTATGTAGAAATCCTCCTTATTCAATTTGTAACATAAAACAGAAGAGCTGACTAGTCATGGAAGACTCAGTAAATCACTATAAAGAAAGAATCTAAATGCATCCAGCAGCGTATGAGATATCCAGACTCTCAATTGGTCAAGTTCCCACTCCTACAATTCCCAAAATGCAACTCAATGCTGTGTTTTAAATCATATACTTTATATGTTTACATTGACTATGTACTGCAGCTGCCCTTCCAAAGTACATACTGTTGCATGTAGTATGCATACTATGAGGACAAACTATTCAGTGATAACATTGCTCTGAACTTTGACCTTGCTCATATTTCCACTGCAAAGGATTATGGGTCAGAATAGGCATGCTGGCCTACATACGGCAAAATGGATGCAGTAGGACATCCTGGTATTTCAGCATACTGCATATGACATACTATGTATTTGAACATAATAGATATTTCTCTAGCATACTAAATACAATAGTAGAATGGGTATTGGACTTCCCTGTTTTTTTGAAGGCTTTAAAAATGTAATTCTCCAACCTATGACAGAATATTTTAGGGAAAATAAGCTGCTTCACAGCTCCCTCCACTTCTACAGGAGGCATTATACAACCGTTTTTACAGACTGAACTTGTGACTCGTAAACTGAAATGCATGAGTTACATTGACGGTGTACACTTTTAAAGACTGAATGGTCGAAGTTTTTTGGATGCTCTTCTAAATGTCTGCTCACCGTAGCTCATCCAGGCAGAGTCTGTTCCTGAGCCGCACGTCTTCGCTGATGGGATACAGCAGCAGGATCAATAACCCCGTCACGATGAAGGCCACAGGGGCGGCACCGATTAGCAGCTTCAGGGTGTACACTACAGGAGCAGGCTGCTTGCAAGCACCGGTGTCATACCCTGCAAATCTACCCACACACACACACACACACACACACACACACACACACACACACACACACACACACACACACACACACACACACACACACACACACAGAGATCCAATTAAAACAGGTTACAGAAAATCGACATCCAATTCTGACGCTGCAATGCTGCAAATGAGCAAACTCATACATCAGCTCTAAGGATTAGTGCATTTCTGCAGGTACCATGACAAATGTGTAAATTAATGGTGCATGTGTGATAAGATGCAGACTCACTCCAGACAGAGGGTGGACACTCCCAGGGAGATTCCAGCAGCGAACTTGGTGAAGAATACGTAGAAGGAGTAGAAGATGGCTTCATGGCCTTTACAGTAGGGGTTGGCCAGTCTGAAGTCATCCACCACGTCTGGCAGCATAGACCTGAAAAGTACACCAGAGTTGAATTGACATCAATTGGTGCTATTAGTTTTGGCAGGATTCCCTAAGCTTTTGTCTTTATTACTTAACATCGCTGTAAGATTTAGACATTTTTTAAGTCGTGTTATAACCTCCCTCACACTCTTAATTTAATTATTTAATACAAAGGGCAGCAGCTGATGTTGTGTCTACATATAGCCACATTACAGAGCTAATAACAAGATTAGATGATGAGCAGCAGGCGGTACCAGCAGCCTTGGGCCCACTGACAGGATAAACAAACGGCCCCTTCCAAAATAAACATGCCCCCAGGAGAGGCCCCTGTAATTTGGGGTTTTAAGGGAGGGGACGGGAGATGAGTGAGGAGCAGAGAGGGCCATAGAAACGGCTGGAAAACAAACAGACACGGAGAAGAATATTGCTTTACCTCTTGCGCTGTGTATTAGCTCTATGATGGTATGGGAGATTTATAGTGAACGCCGCCTCTAATTCATAAAAATGACGTCGCTCTCATGACCGTGACATGACCCAATTGAACGGACGGGGCCCTCTAGACTTGCAGTCACCACTAACAGCAGGGTTGTGGTTTAACTAATGACACTTTGCATCAATTCAAAGGGAAGTATCTGTGCAGCACGACCACCTCACGGACAGAGTTATAGCAGCACTGCAGTTACAAAAACAATGTCAGGGGCTTAGTGGATTTTCATGACATAATCCCTATTCTAAGAATATAAATTAAACTGTAGAATATTTTTTTTAATACTCAGGATGGCGTGTTTCTGAACTGCTGGGGGAAACTGTTGCACAAGAGAAGACGATTCATGTGATCTCAGGCTAGATCATTCAGAGCATGAAACCCTCTACTAAACCCTTTTTTCAGAACGTATTTGGTGTTTTTAAGGCTTGATCCAATATGTGATGTAAAAAGTGACATTTGTCTTGTAGAATATGGGGGGGAAGAGTTTCCCAAAATTGGAGGAAATGCATTAACTACACTGCAAACAAAAGTGACAAAAAATGTTATTTAGAATATGTCAGCATTGAGATAACAGTATAGTAGTTTGTAATGTTTGTATTTGTTTTTTAATTATAATTTAATTTTGACTTTGTCTCCATATGTGGTTTGTCTGTAAACTTTTAGACTTAATCATTTAAAGGGGCCGGAGGTTGAGGAAGTGACTTGAGTTTGGGTAGGATGTGGAAAGTAGATATTGGGGTTCATTATATTTATCGCCTGCTCTGGAAACATTTATGAAGGGATCTTTCAAAAACGACTAAGAAGTGACAAAAGAGGGATGATCTTCTTGAGTGAGGTATCATTTGATGTGCTCTGGAGTCTAACCATGGCAGCAGGAGCGAGGCTGCCACACTGAGTCCAGAGGAGACGGCCACGACGTAGGCCACCACAACGTTAGGGATGAAGACCAGCATCATGGTGAAGGGCATGATCCACTGGACAGAGAGAAACAAAAAGTCTTATGGATAAAGAGACCACATTCCCATCTTTGTCCACAGGGTGGCACAGGCAGTGTAATAGTCAGCGTTAAAACAAACCAAAATAAAAACAGTATACTCACAGTGATGCCGCAGAAAGCTGCCGTCTTTTTCCCAAACCTCTCCAGAAACCATTGCCACATTGGGACGCTTATCACTGCAGAAACCTGGGTAAACCAGCGCAAATGGATAATGAGTCACACATAGAAAGAAAATAGTTTTGATTGTGATTCAGTAAGTAAGAAAGGCATTGTCATGATGTTTATGTATGGGTAAAAGTGTGTGCAAATGTGCAAAATTGCTAGTTTCCCTTAACAGAATAACATGTATTATAGAAAATGTTAAAAAGTTGCTAAAGCTTAGGTCAAGGTCTAATTGGCCGTCACAGTGGTTCGTATCACAGTATATCTTTGGATGTTTCTGGGTGAATCTCCACTCACCAGGATGGTCAGCACAATATTCTGGAAGTGATCCCTCAGGTCGGCGGCGTAAGTGCAGAAGAGCACGAAGTTGCTCTGTACCAGCTGCAGAAACCAGAGACCAAATGTTCAGATATTCAGACGTGTCTTGTCTACTCAGCACTGTCGCTGGAGTGCCAAATGAAGTGACTGGAGAAGACTGCTGACGGCATTTCACAGTGATTTATTCCCACTCCGGGGCTCACATGGATGACAACTGACACCTCCACCGAGATGAGGGGGTGAAGATATACAGAAATAGATATGATGCAAAAGTTGGAAGAGTCTGCAATAATTGACACGGCCTAAACCCCAGGTGCCAAAACTAAAGCATGGGCTTACAAGTGACAGACAAACAGCGGGAATGTGCTGCTCTGCTTTCCCTCTGGAGAGACTTAAAACCTGCTTTAAACCAGGAGCTTTCAGTAAGTGCTCCTTTATATTGATCGAATCAACATCGAGCGCCAGCAATTCTCCCGCGTTGACAGGATCCAGCCAGGACTCCATTTACTGTAACGTTGAGTGTCTGAGATTAGATAAATGTGCTTTTACCTGAATGGCGACAGTGATGAAGAGGAAGGCAGCGGTCAGAGTGAGGTATGGCCCGTGTCTCATCACCAGGATGAAGCCCTCATGGAAGGGGACCTGCTTCTCTGTCCTCGGGGCGTACGGATCTGAAACAGTTACAACAGGAATTAGAATTATGATAGGCGTATCGAATAACATGCAGGATGAGAAAAGCGATGCGATGGCCAACTGGAGATCCTGGAACTGCCACTGCATTGCAGTACCTGTGCTGTTTATCAGTTTGAATAGAGATCAGAGAATCAGAGCTAACACTGGCAGATGTCCAAGTACACTCACTGTGTGTGACAAGTACAAAAAGAGACGAGGAAAATGGAACAGTGAACACTGCTGTTACGTATTATGCATCTTACACAAGTCACCCAAAGGGATGCCCTCAGGTTACTCCAATTGTACTGGTTGAAATTCAAAATGTATTACCAAATGTGAAATAGCTCATTAGGGCTCATTATTAACACTTATGTCTTTCTATATTCATATGTGGATTGTTATTGAATGAATCATTTGCTCATAAAATGAAGAATTTATTTTTAAAACAATAGTACTTAAAAAGAAAGTATGCTCCCAGAGCCTAAGGTGACATCTTCAGATTGAATTTCAGATTTAAGAATCAAGATCATTGTGTTGATCCCTGGGGTGAAATTGGGGTATGCTGCAGTTGCTTCCATGTTATAATAGAAACATATACAGTATATAAACAACATAGAGAAATGATAAGATATCTGAACAAAGAAATAAATATATTACATCCAAAAATAATATATAGGACACAATCTGTATATAACAGTAGATACAAAAATAAACTATAATAATAATTATGTAGACAAATTTGATCATTTAAGATTAATGTAAGTGTGTTCAAATGTAAGAATAGTACAAATAAGAACGTGTACTTTACAAATAAATGAATGGAGTATTATTGCCACAGTATTATTCAGATGGCTTGTTTTATTTAACCACATCCAAAACCAAAATACATTCAGTCCACTTTGTTGTAAAAAAGGAAATGCACTAACATGTCACTTTCGGTAAAGTGAGATTAGCTAATGTTTGATATTTAGCTTTTTGAATGATATATAAAGGGGTATTTTAGCCCTTTTCTGTGCACTCCAATAATGTTGGGGGACTCTCAAGCGACATGGAGTTAAAAACACAGGTTTTTGGAACCACAGGACGACAGTTTAGACTCTTTGTGATATGTAAAACTAACAAGTGAAGATTGATGTGGTTGTTTTAGCATTATAGGAATTATAAGTCTCACCTTCTCTCTCTTTGACTCCCAGGAACATGACCAGGGTGCAGACCAGGAACACTCCTCCTATAACTCCAGCAGCTATCATGTATACCTCCTTCTGCAGAGACAAAGAACACACATGGAACATCAATCCCCCTCCTCTCACACAGCCAGCACAATCCAGGCTATTCTGAGCCGTTCCTCAATCTTTAATTCATAATGTTCTCAAATGCGTTAAAAATGAAAGTGCTTTATTTCAACATGCTATACATTCATTCTAGACATTTTCGCAGAGGGTGTTTGGTTTTTACTCGATTGAGGGATACATTTATTTTGTTCATTTCAATGCGTGTGTGATTTATCTACTGTGACTTTGCGGCGTTGCTTTCCACTCTATGCACATTTCACTGTACAAACACAAGCATAAACAAGAGGAAACCTCAAGTACATCTGTATCCCAAAATACAGCCTTAACCGTTTAATGGCGTACCCCGACAGGAACTGCTGTGCTTTAAACAACCTCTTGTTTGTTTGCTATTTTTCCGTGCGGCTCAGCCCGGCGGTTCATTTATTATTTAAGCACATCAAACACTCCCTGTTTCCGAGGGCAGACCTAGTTTGCCTAGACGGTGTGCCACCCTCACCAGCAACCGCAGAGGAATTTAGCGGGTGGCTGAAAAGGGCTTGGCGTGGTGAGTGGGTCGCCCCGATCAGGTTCACCCAAAATCCATTGGAAAAGAACCATTTTGAAGCCCAAAAAGCTGTGGCGCGACCAAAATCCAACGAAGGACCGTTTGGACTCTTTTTATCTTCCTAAATCTCCCATGATGGATTCACAGTAGCAGTTTATTCACAGCTCTGCAAACTTGACATTTTCCCTACAATTTCAAGCTAAAATACAGAAAAGATAAATATTTCCAACATATTGAAGAGCCTTGTTCCAAGTGTTGTGGATGGGATATAAATAGGCCTAATGACTTACAGACTGTGGAGACCCCTCGAAGTGGGGGCCACAGTTTGGAGCCTGATGTGAGGGAGGAACCCCCTTTGTGGTCGCGCGAGGGGAGCCGGCTCAGGATGTCGGGTTCACATATCAAACAGTGGCGTCTCCTTTCTATCCCATGGGTTACAACATGAGGCCATTTTCAGTGTAACCTGTAGACAGTCTGCAAATATGGAGCCAATTTCAAACAATCCCCCTTTTCATTCAGGCTGCTTTTTTCGACCTCGGGTTATTTAGCAAACTGCCTTGAGCACACACCGCAGCTCCGGGTTATAAAGGATAATGTTGATGACATGTCCGAGTTATTTTCAAAGCAACTCTGTGGCCTTCTTTGAGAACACCTGGGCTCCTAGTTTGGCTCATTGATATTTACCGAGTGTGACAGGTAGTCCTGGGAGCGCACATGTTTCTTCACGATCTCTGTCCCGCTGCTGTTGCCAAGGTAACCGGTAGTCATGTTGTAAGGCGGGCAGTGCTTCAGAGTGTGAGCGCTTGCTACAATCTGGCCCTGAATGGCAGCGCCCACGAGAGTCCCCAGCACCTCAAATGTCATTCCTGGTATGATTCAAGAAATATCCAATATTCAAAGTTATTCACAATATGCAAAAAAACTAAAATAGGCAAAGATTTCTAAGCATTGTAGCCCTAAACAATTGCTTTATATGTTGAATGAGCTTACGATAAGCAGTGGCTGAGTCTCTTTCCTTCTGGTCTGTGCTCAGGAACATGGTTAGAGCAGAATAAGGCACGTGGAAGCACTGCAAAGAAGCAGAAAGACAGTCATTTCTCGGGTAGAAAACAAAATGAGTCAAGCACAGCAGCAGTCAAACAATTGCCGTCTCGGAGGGTGACAAATAATGATTTCTCAGGGTTTTTCTTTTTTCTTGGCCTAGATGCAGCGGTTCTATTTGATCCAGACCATAATATCTATTCAATGGATTGCATACAGACATTCATGGCTCTCCCATGATGAATCATAATGACATGGGTCTCCCAAAGCACCGTTATGAATTTGACATTTGAGGTTTTGAGTGAACTGTTTAAACAGCTTTTGAAAGGATTGCCATAAAAGTTAATGTTTCCTTCAGGATGAATTGTAATCACTTTGGTCGTTGCTTAACCTTTCATGTAGCGCAAAGATTTTAGAAGTGGGAAGCGGGCCTCCCCAGGGGGGGAACAGTTTAGCGAAGGCTCGGTGAATAGAAGTGGAAAAAATATTATTACTTTGGAAGGAGATCACATCCCCCATGTGATCTGTCAACAGTTTTTCACTTTCCCAGAGACTTGAAATAAAAAAATCCTTAGGACAGACCTTTTTTACATTTTGGTGAAGTCTGGTCAAAATCACGATCGCATAGGATTTCAGGAGTCAAGCTTAACTAAGCAAGTATACTTAAACCTCTCTAGTGCCATCTTTAGGTTCATTTGTCAATTAAGGAAATAGGAGAACAAATATGGTGAACTTGGTAAACATTAACCTCTAAAAATGAGCATTGTAATTAGCATTGTAGTTAGCATTGTAATTAGCATTGTAGTTAGCATTGTAATTAGCATTGTAATTGTGAGCGTGTTAGCATCCTCGGGTTCATTTAGCTTAGCCTCACAGAGCTGCCAACATGGCTTCCAGTCTTAGAATTGTTAGCGTATAAGATTTGACTCACAATCAAAAGGGAACACCCAAGATATGTTTAGATGTCTTTCATGTACTAGTGCCTGTGAAAATGCAAAGAACTGTGTAAATATATCAAAAGCAATCTCTGCATTTTCCAACATCGGCCAACCTCAGCTCTCTGTTTTCTTCGTCTTCCTCACCACCTCTGCCAGAGAATAGGCGAGCAAACCGAGTGAATGCTTCACTTTGTAATTTACACAAGGGCTCAGTCAGCACCGAGGAAGCCACGACGAAAATAAACGCGGCCCTGCAAGGATTTTCTCCAGCCACTGGTTCTATACAGCATGTCATTTATGGGGCCTTTAGTGGACGCAAACATTTATAGAATCAGCGTGATTAACCGTGCACTACAGATGGAAGTGAGAACTAATACATCTGATGAAAGCCTATTATAGGAACATAAACATTGATATGTTGCATGCTGACCTCTGTTTAAAGACTCTGAATGATAGCAGCTGGCCTCTTCCTGCTTGCTTCACACAAACACACATCCAGAGACAATGAAGGAAAGGCTAAAAGCGGTAACCAGCATTTAGCCAGCGTGAGGTTCCTGGCAGCATTGACCTTATACTTTTCAAGTAGTTAGAATGACATGCCATTACTGCTCGCCGCAGTGTGGCTGCAGCGGTCTACGCGCTCTGTGGCACATGTTATATGGGTTACCCCAGAGTAGAAATGGAGAGAGGAAGATGAATGGTCTGGCCCATTCTAACAAAAGACAGCCTAAATAACTACACTTCCCCCTTTGAGGTGAGGCATCTAAGAGCTCTGGGCTCTAATCTGCTGCGTGTCTCACAAATCAAAGTGAAAATCCCACCAGGAGCTGTCGGAGTCTGGCATGAGATGACTGTAATCGTCTCCACTTTGTTATTTTGCAGCATTTTATCTATATGTTATGGAATGTGTCTTGAGCTGCATCAATCAGAACAGCTTTTATCTCACTTGACGTCTCTCCTGCGCTCCGTGTGAAGTCTTGCTGAGTTGTAGTAGCCTATATCTGAGTAACGGGATTCATAAAACATCAAATGTGCTTTTTAAAAGAAGATTTGCACTTACAGTGATGAGGGTTTGGTAGAGGCAGTAGAAGCAGAGGTACCAGAGGAACCTGCCAGTGATGAAAGGAGGAACGAACCAGAGGTAGAAGTAGGAGACGACCAGGAAGGGAGAGCATCCCACCATCCTAAAAGACACACACAAATATGCCATCAGGTTGGACTAAACATTGAATTGTGAACTTGATGTACTCATATCCCTTTTTTATACAGTTAGCTTAATTACACACCACATTTGTTTCAAGCAATTATGGTCCCAAGCTATCTCCTGACAGCCATCAACGCCATTTTTAAGCTGTGTGTTAAGCAGTGGTTGGGTTATGCAATTTCATATCAGCGCAGTGTCAAAATCAGGACATATTTCTGGCAGATTATAGTGAGGCTGAGCTGCCTGCTAAATGATTATGTTGTCATAAGTATGATAGGAATTGTTACAGGGAGGGACAGACAATACCACAGAAATGCAAACCCATTAAAAAATACACACACACAGATATGAATATGCAGCACACTTAAGCACACGTAGCATGAAGCAATTCTGCTGTGTTGCTCTTTTCTAAAAGCTCGGACAATATGTGGGCCATGTATAATTCATAGGTAAACAACTGGTATGTGTCATTATGGTTAAAGGGAACAGCTGTGTGTTGGAAATGAAGCTTAACGGGCGGATTACGGTCCATCAACAGTATGACTTGTGTCCAAATACCAATATATCATCCGCCCTCTTCTTCTTCATGCTTTAAAGAGCAAATGGAGTGTGTTGGTCATGCAGCTATAAGTGTGTTGCCTGCAGCTATAAGTGTGTTGCCTGCAGCTATAATAAGAGCACATCGACAGGTAGAAAAAGGGAATTGATGGCATTTTGGTGACTGTGACAAAAACCTTGGGGGCTCTGACCTCTGCCCTGCTGAGCGCCAGCAGTAATAAACAGAGAAAGTGGGAGAAAGAGGCCGTGAGAGGCAGGGAATGGTCCTTTCTAGCATCGTCCAGTCCCAACCCCCCTACCTCACTCTCCTCCTGTTTGTTTGCTCAACAAAGGTGGCTGGACAACGCTGGTGCTGCAGTATTGACCGCTTGGTCATGGGTGCAATGAAAGGGCCCCGGGGTTGATGAATGGGACAGTGAGAATGTTCCTGCAAGATGACTGTGCTCACAGGAGAGGCAACATTGGCAGAAAACACACTCACATATTTTCTCACACATCAGGAATGCATGAATGCGCATCCACACCTGTCCCAGTCATTTGTCTTAATTAAGGCGGGCTGATTGATAGCTAGCTGGCACACACTTCTTCTCTGCTCTCTGACGTGTGCAGAACACTTGCAGCATTGGAATTAGATGATGTGCAGTGAAACAGAGAGGATTTTAGAAAGAGGTCTGGTGGGTGTTTTTCAGATTTTACATTTTATTTTATTTTACTTTATACTTCTACTCCACTTAGGAATAATGATAAGACAAACCATTTCAAAATACCATTTAAAGTAGAGGATTAAACAGTGGTTTCTGATAATGTCACATACTTAAATGATAATGATATCAGTCCCAGGAATTGTTTAAACTCCCAATTAATTGAATAAGGCAGTTTGGTCAATGCCATAGTTATCATGACTGGACACTGTATATGTGCAAGCATTGCTGATAATGCTTTAATAATACTGTTATACTATTACTTCTGTTATTCTAATACAATTAAAATAAATTCTATTCTATTTTAAATTTGACCTAAGTATTTTTAGGTTTTTTTCACAGTAACTTTACTGTGCATAGGGATATTTCTTCCTTCGCCCTGTAACCTTGTCTTTCTCTAGCAGAGACAATCTTCTATGAGGAAAACACATTATACTTGCCACTTGTGCATCACTACAGTCACAAAAGTATAAACATGGCAACACCCAAGAGTACATTTTTGGCGAAATAACTACTATATCCTAAAGAACTCTAAGATAGAAATCACGTTGGCTGTGGATGTGAACACCATGAGGGGGAAAAACACTTCCTGCAGGATGGGCAGAGGGGACTTTCCAAACAGGGTCAAAACTGTGGGAATGTCATGCAATCTCATCACAAATACTGATGAACACACATTTAAAAATACCCATATATACCACACTGAGTATTCACATAGGCAGACTCACACAAGTAAGAACACACACACACACAGCTTCCCGGGTGTAATTAAAGCTGATTGAACAGCCATCAGCATCTGTCTGCTGGCTGGCCACAGTGGACTCTGGCTTAGATTGTGTGCAATCTATGGTTTATAATGCAGTAGGCATTAAATACTGAATGAGTAATCATAGTAAGTGTCACGCTAGTTTGTTCAAAATACCTATACTGAACAACACACATAGCCGCTTATAAAATCAGCCTCGCTAATGGTGATTTATGGGAAATGGTGGTAATACAGTAGCTTTACATAATCCACCAAGACAAATTGCAATGAAAGGATGGAGATAATGAGGAACATCTTGCAGACAAAGACAGCTGGATAATGTCCAAAAAGAAATGTCAACCAGCAGAACGTTGGCCTTATGATTAATCGAAGAATGCCGATGAACTTCCTTGTATTCTGTTGCCTGGCTTCAAAGGAAAGAGAAAAAAAGAGCCCACGCCCTTGGAGGATACAGTATGTAAAGAGTTTCCGGGAACAGTGTAATTAAAGCAAAGAGAATATTTATTCAGCACAATCCTCAGGTGAGGGCTCTGGGAAGAGAATCATTTCAAATCTGTCAAAAAACTGAAGCACACAGTTTGTTTTTGTTTAGATTTTGCACAAACATTAGCCTGATGTACAGGCCATAATTATGTCTGAGAGAGTGGGAGCAGACCAAAACAAGTTTCATAATCTGTCTACAAATTGCAGTCCTTTACACAAGCGTCACTGTTTGTCTACAGCAGCACTTATCAATGTGTTGACTAAGAGAAGGTTGATCATGTTGTCAAAGTTAATTAATTTAGATAACATAAATATTAGTTTGTTCTTCTCATTTAGTTCCCTACATGTCGTCCTCGCTGGTTTGCTATATAGTTGAACAATATAAATTAGTGAATTTTACATTGTTGACAAAAGGTGGTATCTCTTAATTTGATGTTGTGCCACTATCTTGATAGTAGTAATAGTTCTCTAGTGCGTGCAATCAGATAAGTTTGTGCCAATGAAAAAATGAGGAAATGCAGGAACTGTGTTAGACAAATAACCATGATGGCATTTCTTTTATGAAATCAGGGAGCTCACCAGGGCATGAGTCTTCCAATCTTTGTCCATCTGCTCTTTGTGATTAAGAATCCCACAATTGGGTCGGTCACTGCACCCCAGGCTTTACCGATGAACAGCACCATGGAGGCCTGGAAGGCGTTGATCTGCAGAGCGGAACAGGAAGAGACTAGAGTTAAGAACAGACGTACACATACTAATTATTTCATTTACAGAAGCCACACCAACATTCTCATTCAGTTTGTCCTCAAAGATATTACCTGAGCGACATCCAGTAGGTAGATTTGCAGGAAAAAGGCAGTAGCGCTGGCCGCCACTTCCTTGGGTGCACCGCCAATGGCGAAGCACAGCTTACTGCTTAATGTCAACTGCTGGCCCAACACAGTCTGGGAACACAGAGGGGACAAAAGAGAGGAAGACAAACTTTAATAAGATAATGGTGGCCCTGCAGGTCAGGCTGCTGATGAGCAAATTAACTTTTCTGCTCTGCAAGCATTCTGATAACGACTCTTATTCCACCTGGGAACAGGAAATAATGGATGCCAACCACTGGAAAACGGACTATAACTGCAGAAATGTAAACTTTATTAGTGTTTGCAAATCATATACACATGGATGTTACCAATTATTCAAGGCTAAGGCCAATAGAAAGATTGTAATAATAATATATATATGTAGATCATATTGAGTGTGCCTTTATTCTTTTCAGTTCGTATTGTTTGTTTGTCTCTTTGTCAGCAGGAGACCAGAAAAACTACCGTCAAAAATGTTCATGAAACGTGGTGTCAGAGTGAAGCGTGGGCCAAGAAAAACCCATTACACTTTGGAGTGGATCAGAATAGCGGGGCGATACCCTCTATCTTCTTCACTTATGGACACCACCTTGGTGGAGGTCTCAATCTCTGAGTGCTTACATTTTCATCAGACTCATTCCTGGAACAGGAAGCTAGAAGTATAAATAAAGAATGTGTCACTTTGTTAGCCAATGAGAAAGGGTGATTCAGGCCTAACTGATTGTTTCTGTATAGTATATATAGTGTATATATATATTTGAAACTGTCAGCTCTAAAATACACCCAACTAAACACATTGTCTTTTTTGTATTTCCGTTTCATAAGGACCAAACAAATGTCCACCTAAACTTTAGACTAGGTCCCAGACACAACAACCTGAAGCAAGGTGTGTCACTCTTCAATAAATGAAGCCATGAGAGAAGATATACTGTAGAAATCATAAATATTGAAGCTTGAAGTCATTCTTAGTCAGAATACCTTAGAATTCTATCTTAGGTGCTCCTAAAATAACATCTCTTCTCATCTTTATGTCGCAACAATTCAGTGGAATGCAATGAGAAGTACAGTAGTATCTGCCACGTCATTCTGCATTTCCTATGATGTACATTACGGTGTGGAGGATCTGTTTTATTATGATTTCCCCTCTTTAAAGCATAAAAATAGTCTCATAACCTCAGCTTTGAGGAATCCATTTTCCTGAATGTTCATCTCCTTTGATACAGTAGCAGACAAGAAAGACGTTCATGTATAAAATATGTGTGCGTGTGTGTGTGTGTGTGTGTGTGTGTGTGTGTGTGGTGTGTGTGTGTGTGTGTGTGTGTGTGTGTGGCCAAGCTTTCATCTTCACACATGAATAAGACGAGACACCACAGTCTAGGGAGCCCAATATTTACAACTGTCTCCGGGGCTGTGCAAAACTTTTGCCTGTCCCCTTTTGAAAAACCTTTGGTGTCAGACACCACACCACGCACGCACGCACGCACGCACCCCACAACACAACACAACACACAAAACACAACACACACACACACACACACACACACACACACACACACACACACAACCAGTGGTGGAATCTTACAAAGTACTTATACTCAAGTACTGTACTACTTTTGTATTACTTTACTGTAATTTCTTTTGAAACACTCGTACTTGAGTTTTTCTATTTGCTAACACCTCATTTCGGAGGCCAGTATTTTATGTTTTACTGTCTATTTAACACTTATAGTTACATGTTACTTTTTACATATAGAAACACATGATAAATGATAAGATAAAGTACTATACTACCAATACACCCAGTATTTTACAGTAAATGAACCCCACATCGCAAAAGCACAACATTGAAATGCTCCTACATGCATTTGTTAGTTATAAAAAAACAGCATAATATAATATTTTGTAAAAAATATAATAGTGTGAAAAGAGCCATTCTGCCGAGTACTTTTAATACTTGAAGGACATTTCCTCATAAATTTAAATTCAGGATTAAGGAAACTGAATATTTTAAGACCAAGAAATGTCTAGGGGCTTTTCTGGGGATGTCCCTTTCCTGTAGTGTTTTATATAGGGTTTGTTTTGCATATAAAAAGCCGCCTGAAATATGAAGCAATAGCTCACGACAGGCCGTGGTATATGCTCATTATATCACAGCTAAGGGGCGTGGTTCGGCCCG